AATTGTTATCTTTTATAATTAAGTTCTTAATTCGTCTATACTTACTCTCTGTATTTAGTATGAGATAGGAAATAAATTCAATTTCCTCCTGCAGGTAATGTTAATACAATCTTACATCAGATTTTTTTTCTTTTTGAGACAGAGTCTCACTGTGTAACTCTGACTTGCCCAGAAGTGTCTGTGTAGATTCAGATGATGAACCAGAGATCCGTCTTTCTCTGCCTCCTAAGGGCTGGGATTAAAGGCGTTCAGTAGTTCACCCCGCCCTCCACAGCCCCAGTCTTGCGTCAGACCTTTTGTTCCTAGGCTATGTCTGGTTCCTTGTGGGTCTGTAATACTGTAGCTTCGCATTGTTCTTTGTTCTCTGATGGGACAAGTTCCCCTCACTCTGTTCTCCTTCCTGGTGAGGGGTTACCGTCCTTTGGGTCTCACATGGATGGATGGGTAGAGTCAACTTAGCAAGCACCACTTCGAAGATCTCTGTTGTGAATTTTGTTCAAATTGAATCAAATATGGATTGTGATATTATATTCAATTTCTATCTCATGAATAAAGCAGATGGAAAGACTAGGGGCGGCACAAAATATTTGCAGGTGTTTCCTGATGAGTGTTCCAAACCATTTGCAGCTGGCGCTCTTCATTAGTCACAGGCCTGAAATCTGTTCCGGTGGAGAGCCCCTCTCTTCAATACATACCTTCAGTTAGATACCAAGTTTTCTTGTCTGTGGATGTACATTTGAGTCTGCATGTCCGTGTGCTAGTTTTACTTTGGTTTCTTTCAAGGTTAAGGGCCCACCTGTCTGTCTTCCCCTTGATTAGCAGTTACTTGCTGTTTTTACTTTTAGTGAATGTGGTGTCTTTTTATTTAAGTAGCTCTGCACTGGTACTGAATTTCTGATTTAGAGAATGAAATTAGTATTTGAACATTAGCTTGATATCTAGCATGTCATTGGTAAACACTGTTATTGGTTATAGCAGTGACCTGTGGATTATGTGGTCATCCTATGTAAGAATCATATTGTTTGAGACACATGCTT